GCTCGCGGCACTCCGCTCCGGCCCTGGCCTCCTCAAAGCCACACGTACTGCTTCCCTGTCCAGACGCAATCGGTCATGCCCCGCCCCGCTGGGGACGCAGTGACCATCTCTCTCCCGTCCATCCCGAGTCCATGGCCTCTGTCCAGGGCCACTCTGGCCAAGCATTGCCTGGAGCCCAGGATGAGGCCTCGACCCTGTCCCCCAGGGACTGGCGGTCTGGGGTAGGGGGACAGGGAGCACAAGGACACAGACAATTCCCTGCCATGAGGTTCAGACCTTCACCGAGGCCTGAACGGGGAGCTCCGGGCGCCCAGCAGGAGGAGGGTCCAACGCTGCCCAGTGGGCGCGGGAGGCTTCATGACAGGGGCCGCTGGAGGGTGGGCAGGGCCCTGCCAGGGGGAGAAGATAGGGCGGTCCTGGGGGGGCAGGGCGGGACCAGCGTGAGCCAAGGCCCATTGGGGAACTGGTTCCAGGAACGGTGAGCAGAGTCACCAGTGTGGCTGGAACGAGGTGGCTCTGACATTGAGATTCGCTGATTGTGTCTGTTTTGCGAGAGACTCGGCTCAGGGAGAGGCAGATTTTCCCACATTAACAGCTCCCGCTCCCTGAGGGCTCCCCTTGGACCCAGAAGGTGCCAAGCACTGTACGAGAATGTGATTCTTCAATCCTCTGCAACAGTATGGGGTACATAAACAAGTTTACCGATGAGGCACAGAGAGGTTGAGTGACTACGCCAAGGTCACACAGCAAATCAGAGGCCAAAGCGGGGGCGAAGACAGGCCTCCCTGACTCCCAGGCAGGAGCTCTCAGCCTCCTGCTGTCCCACGTCCCTGCACAGACGCGCCTTACTGATCCAGGTGGCCTGTCCGTCAGCCCTGGAGCTGTGGAGGAAGCTTCCAGCACATGCTTTTCATTTCAGCAGGCTGTTTGTGGCTGGAGAGCCTGTCCTCAGCAATTTTTAGCGGCTCCCCAGGACACTGACAAATCAAGCTGGCATTTCTAGTTCATGAATATCTTTGGGATATTAATGGCCAGCAACAAGGGGGTCTGCTCAGAGCGGCCCTGTCGCCACCAACCCAGCCCCTGCCCCCAAGACACACGGACCCAGACAGAAGCCTGCGGATGGGCAAACCGTGGACACTGCTCCCAGCCACGCCGAGAGAAAATGGCGTCCCCAGGCTGGTGTCTAATCTTATGTCACGAAGAGGCCTTCGTGGTTTTCCAGTTTCCTCTCGTCCGTCTAGAGGTAGCCCCCGGAATATGACTTTAGATGTTTTCCAGCGAATGGAGAAGAAGCCGGTTGCGAGTTTCAAATCTGTAACTTTCTCGCTGGGGAGGGCTGGGCCAGTGGGCCTGGGGAAGGGGTTTCATGGAGACCTTCTGAGGGCCTGGGTGACACCAGGACCGACCTCAGGCCAGCACAGCCGCCAACCCCATCCTTCACACCTGACACCAGAGAGGACAACATTTCATTAAAAACAGTGAGATGTTGGTGTTGCCTTTACTCGACGCTACCAAAATAATATGCACTCTCTGAAAAAAAAAAATCAGGGAAAAAACAGAGAGAATCGTAAAGAAGATACAAACCCACAATCCTGCCACTCAGACGTGACTCTGGCCTTGCTGCTGCTGCTCTAACTGCAGGCCACGCCTCCAGTCACCTCTCCAAAGGACCCATCCCTTCCCACGTCTCACGAAGCTCCCATCGCACCCAAACCGGCCCCGAGCGCCCGGCCCACGGGGCCTAGGCGAACCCGCACAGCCCCGCGAGCCCTCACTCAGCACTCCCCTGCTCTCTGCCCCCACCTCGGGGCCTTCGCAGGCCCTGTGCCCTGGGCCTGGACGTCCTCCTACATCTGCTTCATCGTCACCCTCCATGCCTCACCCGAGGTCACCTCCTCAAGGCCTTCTATGACCAGCCAGCTAAACGGTCCCCCAGTCGCCACCACGGTCACTGGGCCAGTGCTCTGCAGACGGTCATGGGGCCACCGTCTGCCCATCGCCAGAAAGTGAGCAGGGCCTGTCCCTCAGTCCCAGCTGCCGCCAGCGCCTGGGACGTGCCTGCACGTGGCGACTTCCCAGTGAGGTGTACTGCACGGAGGAGTGACTAACTCCTTCCCGTCTTTTCCCGGGTGCGTGAACCGCCGACAGAGCTGCGATCACGCGTCAACCTTCCTCAGAAACTCCACGCACAGCCTCTTCCACTGTCCTCCCCGCTACACACCCTCGAGGCTCGAGTCAAATGTCCCCGCTCCTGAGGGACCAAGCCATGACCCCAACCTCTGCCCCAAGGGAGCCTGATCTGGCCACTGCACCTGCCCGGCACTTTAAGTTTATAAAACTTAATCGTTCCCTCCATCCCCACGGAGACTTGAACGACCTCTGGCCCTCAGAAGGTCTCCAAGCAAGAGGGGGCTGCCAACCCCGTTTAAAATGAAGCCACCGACGCTCAGGGAGGTCGCCTGGGCGGGAGGCGGACCCAGGACGTCTGGCCCCAAAGGCACAGTCTACATCTTTAGTGTGAACCACAGAGGAGTCACCGTAAGAACCGGAGCGGTGGACAGAGACACCAAGAGCTGGACTGCGGAGTCCGACCACCTGGGTTTGCACCCCGCTCCGCCACTTACTAGCTGTGTGACCCTGGATGAGTCACTTCACTCCTCTGGGCCTCAGTGTTCTGCTCTGTCAAGCGGGGATGACAATAGTCCTGCCTCATTCTGTTGTCGGGAAGATTAAATGATTTAATACTACACACAACAGGCACAGAACAGCATACAAAATCAAGACACGTATTAACGCTCAACGAACACTAGCTCTCTATAAAAACACACCTGTCCAGAGGCACCTACAGGCACCTAACGAGTGTGCAGCCCACCCCTCAGCCACA